CCTCCACACACTGCCTATGTCACCCTTCTATTCTCTGCTGAGCTATGGCCACCTTCCTTATAACAGTCGCTCATCCAGTTCTGTGCTTAGAACAATTGCCAGCACTCAGCACCGTGCCTGGCACTTTGGGAAAGGTTTAGAAGAAGACAATGCGTGTATTTGCCACTTCATGCCTACTCCTCGACCAAAAAAAGGGGAAATTGTGTCACTTTCACCTTGAAAGTCCACACTATCAGCATCATTTCGTCGAATAGACTTCCAGCCCAGGAACATGAGCTCTAAACTTGCATTAAAAACAACAAGAAAAAATGTTTGGAGGCGAAAGAATCTAGAATTTTCAGCTCTCTAATGTAAGTAGGAAGAAGAGCTTTAAAATCGTTTATAGCTCAGAGAACAAAAAACAGAGCTCAAAGCAAAATATTTCTGTTACAGCACAACCTGATGAGCAACAAACTGCCTTCAGGAGTTGCTGGGCGGTGCAAACGGTTAGCGCTCTCAGCTGCTAACTGAAGGGTCGGAGGGTCAAGTCCACCCAGAGATGTCTTGAAAGAAAGCCTGGAGATCCACTTGTAGAAAAGCAGTCTCTGAAGGCCTCAGGCAAGCCCAGTTCTACTTTGACACACACGGGGTGGCCATGAGTGGGAATTGCCTGGATAGCGACTAGTTTCAGTTTGGGACAGGCAACCCACAACCAAACTGATCAAATAAGACAGAAAATGACACCCCACTGGCAACTGAAATGGGTGATAATGGGTGCCATTTACTGAGCTTTTGCCACCAGGCGTTGCCCTGAGAAATTAGTCTGCAGCTAGGAAATGTAGAATCGAGGCCCATAATGTACAGGGTTAAGCCCTAAACCAGCATCTGTCCAAAATGCCAATTCCCAGCATGCATTTCTCTCAGAGCACACCCAAAATAAAGCCATTGTTGTTGCTGGAAATGCCCTGATTAAACAAACACTTCCCTAACCTTCATTTCACACTAAAATCAACAAAAGATCACATTCTCCCATGTAACTGCTATTGTCCAGATACCTTCCCCCCTCTACCAATGTTCTTCTCAACTATCTTTTTCTCTCTTCCTCTTTCTCTTCCTTTTATCTAAGCAACTGATAAGGACTTCATTTTACTAAATTTAGCTGTCTCCTTTATTTCCCACCCACCCCATCTCCTTAGGATGAGAAGCATCTCGCTGACTCATCGGCCCTAACCAGACACCAGCATGTATCTTTCCACAATGGGCCCTGACCATGCTTTTTATAAAGCACAAACAGCTCCACTTGATGAACTTGAGAAACGCTCTCCAATGGTTTTATTGCAAAAGCATGTTTCATTGTGGTAAACACACGCGCACCTGTTGGTTGCCTTCTATTTCAACTCATGGGGACCGCATGTGTTACAGTTTACAGCATAGAATTGCTCTGTGTGGTTGTTTGGTTTTTTTTAAATAGTTATATTGAGATATAATTATTATATCATGCAATTCAATAATTAAATTCTATCCGGAAAGGTTGTATAATCATCACCAAATCAACTTTGGAATTTTTTTTCCTTCTTGTATCCATTGCTGTTGACTGCCTATTCCCCACCATTGCCCCAGGTAATTATAACTCCAGCTGCCATCGTTATCGATACAGCTTCACAGAGTTTTCTTGACATTTTTAAGAAAGCAGCTCACCATGCCTTTCCTTCTCTGTCACCGTGCTATCCAACTGTTGGCATCATCCAGAGACTTACCTACAGGATCCCAAACTCCCGTACACAAACTAGTATTTTTATCTGGGTCGTTTAAGTCACCCACTAGAGAGACCCAGATGGATTTTTCACTCTAAGCGGCATGACTTTAGACAAAAGAACATATATACACTTCCCTGGTGCCTTTGCTTCTGGGTCATTGTCTCTTCTTTTATCTTGAGAAGAAACAGATATGTGTCCCAGTCCCTTAAAGATTAAAAACAACCAGAGGTTTTAAGGCCTATCGGGGTTCTAGATAGTTCCATGTGGTTTAGAAGCTGTGTATCTAATGGGAAAGTTGTCACAGCATTGACAAGCTAGTTAGAGTTGAGCTCAAACAAAATGAAGGTTTGGGAGTTAGGCAGCCCCTGGGTGGCACAAACAGTTTGCACTCAGCTGCTAATCTAACAGCTGGTAGTTCAAGCCCACCCAGCAGTAAGGTACTACCACAGGAAGGCCTAGAGATCTGCTCTGTAGAGATTATAGCCAAGAACAACCCTATAGAGCTGTTCTATTCCTATTCATGACACTGGAGGCTGCCCTGAGTCAGCCTGACTGCAGAGCAGAGGGCTTTGTGGGGTTCACCCATTTGTGGTCAGGTGGTGGATCCACAGGACACAAAAAGCTGTGTCCGTGGGTAACCAAGGAGGCACTCAAACAAGCCAAGAGAAAGATGAAGCACTCCACCAACAAGGTTGTCAACTCAAATCCACACAGCGGTGCTTCAGAAACGTGGAAATGAGGCCTGAATTATTACTTTAAAGGCTTCAACAAACTCATGATCACACTGTCTTTAGGTGCCATCGAGTGGCCCTACATACAAGAGAACAACAGCTAAAGCGAGCAAACCCCAAACCAGAACTCCTGGTGGCACAGTGGGGTAACGTTTGTGTATTGGTTTAAATCCACCAGCTGCTGGGAGGGAGAAAGACAAGGCAGTCTGCTTCCACAAAGATGTACAGCCTCAGAAACCCTATGGAGGAGGTCCACTCGGTCCTCTAGGGTCTCTATGACTCGGAAACAACTCCAACTCCACCGCAGAGGGCTTTCACCAAATTAGCAGGCCCGTAAGTAATCTTCCTAGCTTCATAAATGGACTTCTACAGCAAGCGGAAGGAAGGCAGGTTCGCTTCAGAAGGCTCAGTTCTGCGCTACGTAGAGAAAAGCAGCCCTGGGCTCGCTTCCTCCCAGGCTGTGACACTCATTAAGGAAACACCCAGGGCACAGCTGTGGGTCCTTGCCAGTACTCCCAAGCTTCTCCACAATGCCAGCAAACACTTGCTCCTTTAGGCACCCTTCAGGGATGGGGGGTTCCCTCCCAATTTGCATCCTGAAAGTAGGTTTGAAGCTGCTCAGGTTGGGAATTGTATTATCATCTGGACATGGGACATGAATTTGGGGTGGGCTCTCCCCTAGGGGCCTTCCAATTCTTATCCCTATAAGGAGGGACACAAGCTGGAGAGGACCAGGTAAAAAAACAGAACAGACTAAAATCACTCCTTTTTAGGCTAACCAGAGCAATTTTTCTCTAGGTTTTTAAATCTTAATAGTTTTATTGTTTTTGTGAAGTATTATGTAATATTTTATTGTTTTTAACATTTTCTGCTTACCTTTTTTCTTTTTAAAAATATTTTTTAAATTTTTTGGTTTTTTAAATCATTTTATTGGGGGCTCGTATATAAAAACATTTTATTGTAAATTAGGTGAAAGTTTATAGAGTAGATAATCAGTTTTACATTTCACAATTGGTTTCAATTCATTCATTGTATGTAAGTCTTTTTTAATAAATTACTTTATTGGGGCCTCTTACAGCTCTCAGAACAATCCATACATCAGCTGTATCGAGCACATTTGTACTTATGTTGCCAACATCATTTCCAAAACATTTTCTTTCTACTTGAACCCTTGGTATCGGCTCATCTTTTTTTCTCCTAGTTGTGGACGTGTCCTTCAATTAGAGACAAACGGCCTGTAGGTGAGAGGACTTAAGTATTGATGGGAAGGGGAAAGGTGAAGATTTTGGACAGCTAACACCTGGTCACGAAGGGAAGGGGAAAGGTGGAAAATTTTGGACAGCTAACACCTGGTCACAAAGAAGGAAAAGAGCTCTCACAAAGCCGGTGGACTGAAGGCGGCTTCTAGAGTAGAGGCGGCAGGTGGCCTAAATCAAGCAACCCTTAAAATTGTGTTGTTTTTGAAAGTGCGTGTCCGACCTAGATCTTTGCAGAGACCAGAAAAGCCTGCATAAGAACCAACAGTTAAACACTCCTGCTGTTGTAACGTTGTTATTGTTGTTGTAGGGTCCCCTCAAGGGGGTATGGGTTCATCGGGATCTTACGTAAAACAGAAATCACCTGTGCACAGCCCTGCCCAGTCCTGTGCCATCCTCACCATCTCTAACCTCTAGGGACGTGCACACAGGAAGCCCAGGCCTGCAAAAGAGCTTTGGATCAGAGGGACCTCACCACAGGGCGCCACAGGAGGCAGGTCGAGGAGGTCACGGACTCAGTGATCAGCGCTCTGCCCACCCCCCACCCCCACCCCCACGACTGAGCCTGCCACCTGCTTTGCCTTTTCTTTCTCAGCCCAAGTCTGTCCATGTTTCATGCCTCCATTTTCAATTCTGGAAGATGCGGGGGGCTACCTACGGCATCAAGGATCCTGAGTGGCACGGTGGTTGACTGCTACCAGGTGGCTGACGTTTCCACCCACCCAGAGGCTGCGGGAAGCGGGGCCTGGCGGTGTGCGGCCCTCACAGATCTCAGCCAAGACCTGCGGAGCAGCTCCACAAGCGACTGGGTGGCACCTGAGCCACCCCGGAGTGTGATGGCTCAAAGAAGTCAGCAGTTTGGCACAGAGTGAAACCCAATGAACCCGACTTCATTACTGGCCCGGACCTGGGGCGGAGCCAAAATATGCACCAGGCGACTTTCCTCCACGCCCCCCCCACCCCCCCAAATCCAAGGTGGGGTTCGGCAGAGGTTGCGTGTCCTTGCACAGGGGGCAGGTGGGAAGAGCGGACGCGGCTTCAGGAAAACATGCAAAACGGAATTGAAAGAGGAAAGGAGAACGAGATTGCGGATTCCGACCCAGCCACATTTTGGGAAGGGACCGGGGTGCTTTTGAACTCGCCGGGCTGGACAAGACCGGAGAGCGGCTCCGAGGTAGCCCAGGTCCCGGGAAACCAGGAGGAGGAGCCGCAGTCCCCGCTCGGCGCCGGGCGCTGCGGGGACCGGGGGTCTCGGCGCGCGGGGGGCGGCCACTCACCCAGCAGCAGCAGCTTGAGCTCGCGGCGCGCGTCCTTCCTGTCCCGGCGGAGCTGCCGCTCGATCTCGGCGTTGATGCGCTGCGACTCCTTCTCCTCCGCCGAGAGGCAGCAGCAGCCCGCCATGGAGCTGGCCGCCCGACCCGAGCCCGGGCCCCGGGTGCCTGGGTCTCGAGTCTCAGCCTCGCCGGGCCGGTTGGTGGCTGAGGCCCGAGTTGGAGAGGAAAGCCGCCGGGCAACTGGAGTTCCGCAGGGCGAGGCTGGGAGCCCCGGGACGAAGCCCGAGCGCTGGGGCCGCCCCGGCGCACGCGGGATCCCGGCTCTGCGCTCGCTCCCGGGGCTTGGAGAGTTTCCCGCCCGCGGAAGATTCGGGAGCCGGACCCCGGGCAGGGGGCGTAGAGCGGGCGTAACAAGTTGGGGCCGCAGGGTCCCAGGCAGGCGGCAGGCGCGGCGCGGCTGGGAGGGCAAGGACGGCTCTGGACCTTGCCTGGAAAGACACGAGACCTCAGCCGCGGGGAGGCGAGGGAGGCTCCCGCTGCAGCTGCTGTGGCTCTCCGCGGCGGGAGGAGGCGGGGCGTCTCGAACCTGCAGCCCTGCGGCTACTCAAGTCGGCTGTGCGCCACGCAAGCCCACGGGGTCCCGCGGCGAAACAGCGCGGGGAGGGCGGGGCCGGGGCCTCGGGTCTTCCAGGCGGCTGCCGCGGGCGAGGCAGCAGTGACCAGTCGCGGGACCGCCGAGCCGGCCTCCGCGCTCAAATCCGGTTTCCGACCCGTAACGGAGCCTTGCCCACTCCTCAATCTCGGCGGAGCCGGCTTTTGCAGAGGAGCCAGGAGCCTGTGCCAAGAGCGAGGACAAGGGCTCTACTTAGACCTGCCCAAACCCAAACCAAACGCACGGTCACCCAGTCGATGCCCGATAGGACAGGCGAGAGCTGGCCCGGGGTTCCGAGACTAACGCTTCACGGGAGGCGAAAGCCGCCTCTTCCTCCGGCCGAGCGACCGGTGCCTTCGAACTGCTAATTAGCAGCCCGGAGCGTAACCCGAGCTCCTGCCTTCCGCCCACCGCACACGCCCCGGCTCCCTACATGGGCTCCTTCCGCCTCTCGGCCGCCAGCCCCTCGGCCGCCCCCAAAGCTTGAGTTGAGCAGCCGGCCTGGAAGGTGGCCGGCTTTCAGAGCCACCGCCTCCGGGCTCCGATAAATTAGGGACATTGGAGAGGTGAGGGTCAATATCCTTCCGGCCCCTTCCGACCCCACCGGACGGGAGGGACAGAGGGGCTGGGGGGGGAGGATGGGAAACGGCTGGCTGCTTTGCATTCACTGTTGGGAAGACTCCAGCTTTACCGAAACGGCGGGCGGGCACGTTCAGAGCAGCACCTGGTGTGTGCCCAGCCCCGAGCCCTGACAGCTGCTTTGCAAAGGTGTGTCCACACAGGCGCTCAGACTGGCTCCCGGAAAGTAAGGATCCTGCTAGCGCTGCACTAATCAACGTGTTAAACGTAAAAAGCACCTCTTTGGACCCAAATGGCACACTAGGATGCATATTACATCTGGTTTTGCCTTCGATCCCGAGGCAAGAGCTGAAGAAGAGAGGGCGGACCGAGTGCGCCGTCCAGAGGAGAACACAGGAATGTTCCTGTCCACCTCTCCAAGTCGGCCAGTGCCACGTAAACACTGTGTGGCGCTCTGCCATTAGCGAAGGCCTCGTGCACCATGTCCTTCAGCCAGTTCTAACAGAAGAGTTTACATTGAGTAGAGAAATTGCGTACGTCATTTATCCCTTAAGCAATTAACATTTTCCAACAGTTTTATTGGGAAGTAATTTACATATCAAAGCATTCAATAGTTCAATCTGATATGATTGAATCACGGAGAATTGTACAAACATCTTCACACCAATTTTAGAGCAACCGCCCCCCATAGTTAAATCGCCTTTAAGATGATTTATGCGATCACAATCCGTTCTAGTCCTCCCTTCTCCCTCCCATTTTCATTAGTTACGCCCGAAATCCCCTTTCCCTCCCTATCCCCCACCCCCAACACACACCCCTGTAGTACCTATAGCCCTTGGTATCCATTATTATCATTAGGCATCCACTCCTGTGCTTCACAGCTGGGAGACCCAACAGAAAACAATAAACAAAATAAGGCTAAAAAGTGGTAAGGGTAAAAACATAACATACGGAAAAAATACTAATAAAGTATAAGAAGGTGACCACCAACAGTATTCTGTCATTGAACCAGTAAGAAATACTTTTACAACTTCTGTGATGCTCACTTTCCCAACACAATCACTGAAGACAAAATGTGTGCATACACAAATGTGGTGAAGAAAGCTGATGGTGCCTGGCTATTAAAAGATATAGCATCTGGGGTCCTAAAGTCTTGAAGGTAACCAAGTGGCTATCTATCTGAGCAGATGCACACCAGCCTTTGTGATCATGAGGTGTCAACAGAATCAGGTATCAGGCACCAGAAGACCCAAAACAAATAATCATATTGATGCAAACAAGGGGGCCGGAGTGGAAACCCAAAGCCCATCTGTAGACAATTGGACATCCCCTCACATTAAGGATCACAAGGAAGGGATGAGTTAGCCTGGGTGTAGTATAGCACTGACAAAACATACAACATTCCTCTAGTTCTTTTTTTTTTTTTTAACATTTTATTAGGGGCTCATACAACTGTTATCGCAATCCATACACACATCAATTGTGTAAAGCGCATTTGTACATCATTCTCAAAACATTTTCTCTCCACTTAAACCCCCGACATTAATGAGGTCCTCTAGTTCTTTAGTGCTTCCTCTGCCCACTATCATGACCCCAGTTCTACTTTATAAATCCGGCTAGATGAGAGCATGTACACTGCTACAGATAAGAGCTCTAGACACACAGAATTCAGGACAGATAAACCCCTCAGGACCAATGAGAGTAGAGATACCAATTGCAATGATCGACCTATTACTCCCCACCACCACCCAGGGTGATGAGCAAGAAAAACGTGGGTGAAGGGAGATGGCACAACAGACAATGTAAGAAAATAATAATTTATAATTTTATATAATAATAATTTATATTTTATCAAGGGTTCATGAGGATGGGAGAGGGAGAATAAAAATGAAGAGCTGATACCAAGGGCTCAACTAGAAAGAAAATGTTTTGAAAAGGTTGATGGCAACCTATGTACAATTGTGCTTGATACAATGGATGTATCAATTGTTATAAGAGCTGTACAAGCCCAAAATAAAATGATTTATTAAAATAAAAAAGAAATACTTGCTCCCAGAACAAATTCAAGTCCTATCTACAGAGTGGTCAGCTCGCCAAGTGTGAGTTCGATGCAGCGTGATCAGGATAACAATGGTTTCTGCTGGTCGTAAGCCGATCAAGACTGGTCTGTATCTAGAGCGGAGCTGAAAGCAGCTTATTCCGATCAGATATCTGCAGATGAGGTTGGGGCCCTCAACATCGACTGCCCTCCACAAATTGGGTGCTCAAAAATTTTTAGCTCTTTCTTATAGGATCATTTAAAAGTTGAGAACAGGGCATCTGGCTTTTCAAATTCATAATTGCATCATAGAATCTAGTACTTTTCTATATGACTAAATTGTGAAAAACTGAAAGCTTGGAATAAACTGCCTGCTTGTTGGAAAGCGGCAAGAGTTTAAAAAGACATGAAACATGGACTACTTGTCAGAAGACAAATCCGTGCAATTTTTCTGTGCTGGCCAACTCAACAATATGCATCACAAGCATTAAATATGCCCATTCCCTCTGATCAAACCAGCCACTCACCCCTGAAGAAATAATTGGGGAGAAGCCACATGATTGATGCGCAAAGATTTTAATTTTCAAACAACCACCCAAACCCAAAACAACCTAAATATTCAATAACAGGGAATAGATTATGGTAGATTCACATAATGGATAACTGTGTAGCTATTGAGCATGTAAATGTGTGAGTTTACAGATGTGGGCATAGAATTTACAGGTGTGGGCATAATAAAGAGATAAGATACATAAACTGTCAGATCCAAATTTTATTTTGAGAACACACCTATGCATTCTTAAAAGACCAAAAAGAGATGCACCAAAAAGAAGCCTCTCTAGACAAAGCTTATTTAGTAGATTTTCATTCTCTGATATAAAATTATTTGGGGCAACTTGTGTAAAGTTATCCCACTGTCCTCAATTGTAAAATGAGAGGGATGAACCAGAGTGAATTCAAAAGGCTCCATCAATTCTAATATCACTATTTTTTGTGGATTTTCACACTTATAAGAAGATATTAAATATGATCATAGACCTAACGTTGTTGAACATGGTTAGCTTGTGAGAACTGTGGAAATGAGACACCACAAGTCCAAGTCAATTATGTCTATACTTCTACTTTTTATCTGTCTGTTTCTTTGCATTTAGGATCTGTGGGTAAAATTAGTCTAAACTTTGTTATTTAGATACTTAAATCATTTTTCCAGTAAGGGGTTCAATTGAGAAAAATTCATAGGAATAGAGAAAAATCTGTTCCCCAGGTTATTCCAAAACTGGAGCAATTCCATTTCATTACATTTGCCGAGTAGAGCACAGTTTAGGATACCTGCCAACTGCTGGACCATAAAGGTGAGCTAATTGTCTGGAGTGCCTCTGAATGGTCATTGGGTTCTAGTCCAGGCCAACCCCTGTACCAGGCACTGGGGAGTCAGATAAGACAATTCCACAGTTTAGTGGTTACGTGTTAGGTTGCTAAATGCAAGGTCAGCAGCTCAAAATCACCAGCCACTCCAAAGGAGAAAGATGGGGCTTTCTATACCTGTGAAGAGTTTAGTCTTAGAAATTCTCGGGCGGTTCTACCCTGCCTTCCAGGGTTGCTATGAGCCATCATGGACTCAATGGCAGCGAGTTTGTTTTTGTTTGTTTGAGTGTCACAGTCAAATAAGCGTTGGGTTACCAATGATCAGATTGGTGGTTCAAACCCACCAACTGTTTCACAGGAAAAAGATGAGGCAATTTGCCTTTGTTAAAGACTTAGTCTATGAAATCCTAAGGAGCAGGTTCTACTGTCACTTAGGGTCACTATGAATCACACTTCATTCCATGGCACTAGATACACTCTATTAGAACAGATGAGGCCCTGTACTCTGACTCCCTGCTTCTTCCTAGATTT